AAATCCATCTACCTACAGCCACCTGATTTTTGACAAAGGCCCAAAGTCCATTAAATGGAGAAAAGACAGTCTTTTTAACAAACATACAGTACAAAACTGTATGTCCATCTGAAAAAAAATGAAACAGGACTCCTACCTCACACCATACATAAATGTAATTCAAAATGGATTGAAGGCCTAAATATAAAACTAAAAACTATAAAGATCATGGAAGAAACAAATGTGGTCAACACTAAACCAAAAAACCAAACCCATTGCCGTCGAGTCAATTTCTTCTCATAGCAACCCTATAGGACAGAGTAGAAGTGCCCCATAAGATTTCCAAGGAGTGGTTGGGTGAATTCAAACTGGCAACCTTTTGATTAGCAGCCGATCTCTTAACCACTGTGCCACCAGGGCTTCCAGTCAACATTAGAGGCCCTAATATACAGCATAAACAGGATACAAACCACAACTAACAATACGCAAACACCAGAAGATAAGCTAGATAAATGGGATTTTCTAAAAATTAAACACTTAAGCTCATCAAAAGATTTCACCAAAAAAATTAAAAGAGAACCTACAAACTGGGAAAAAAATTTTGGCTATGACATATCGGACAAAGGTCTAATCTTTAAAATCTATAGGAAACTCTAACACCTCTACAATAAAATGACAAATAATCCAATTTAAAATGGGTAAAGGAGATAGACACTTCACCAAAGGAGACATTCAGGCAGCTAACAGACACATGATGAAATGCTTACGATCACTAGCCATTAGAGAAATGCAAATCAAAACCACAATGAGATACCATCTCACCCCGACATTATCGGCACTAATGAAAAAAAGAAAAAAAAAATATTGGAGAGGTTGCGGGGAGATTAAAACTCTTACACATTGCTAATGGCAATGCAAAGTGATACGACCATTTTGGAAAACTACATGGTGCTTCCTTAAAAAGCTGGAAATAGGAATACCATCTTATCCAGCAATCCCACTCCTAGGAATATATCCTAGAGAAATAAAAGCTATCACACAAATAGACATATGCACACCTATGTTCATTGCAGCATTATTCAGAATAGCAAAAAGATGGAAACAACCTAAGCACCCATCAACGATGAATGGAAAAAAAACTTTTGTGCATACACACAATGGAATACTACTCAATAATAAAGACAATGATGAATCTGGTAAACATCTCGCAACATAGATAAATCTGGAAGGCATTATGCTGCACAAAATAAGTCAATCGCAAAAGGACAAATACCGTACAAGACCACTATTATAAAAACATATGAAAATGTTTCCACACAGAAAGAAACAAATCTTTGATGGTTACAGGAGGGAGAGGGGTGGGGAAGGAAAAACAGTAACTAATAGTACGTAAGTGATAACTCTGGTGCAGGGTAAGACAGTTTCCAATATTGGGGAAGTCAGCACAACTTGACCAGGGCAAAGTCATAGAAGATTCACAGACAGATCCAAACACCCTGAGGGATAGAGCTACTGGGCTGAGGGCTGGGGACCACGGTCTTGGGAGACATCTAGCTCAATTGACATAACATAGTCTATAAAGAAAATGTTCTACATCTGACTGTGGTGAGTAGTGTCTGGGGTCTTAAAAGCCTTCGAGCGGCCATCTAAGATACATCTACTGGTCCCATCCCGGCTGGAGCAAAGGAAAATGAAGAAAACAAAAGATACAAGGGAAAGATTTGTCCAAAGGACTAATGGACCACAACTACCACAACCTCCACAAGTCTGAACCCAGAACAATTAGATGGTGCCTGGTTACTGCTAACTACTCTGGCAGGGATCACAAAAGAGGGTCCAGGATAAAACGGAAAAAAATATAGAACAAAATTCAAATTCACACAAAAACACACACAAAAGACCAGGCTTGCTGGTCTGACAGAGACTGGAGAAACCCGAGAGTATGTTTCCTGGACACCCTTTTAGCTCAGTACTGGGTTCAGCCCTGAGGCTCACCCTTCAGCCAAAGATTAGACAGGTCTATAAGGCCAACACTAACACACGTAAGGAACGTGCTTTGTAGTTTAATCATGTATAGGAGACTAATGGGCGCATCAGCCCAAAAGTGAAGATGATAAGGCAGGAAGGGACAGGAAAACTGGATGAACGGAAACAGGGAACCGAAGGCGGAGAAGGTGAGAGTGATGACACATCCTAGGGATGGCAACCAATGTCAGAAAACAATTTGTATAGTAACTGTTTAATGAGAAACTAATTTGCTCTGTAAACTTTCATCTAAAGCATAATAAAAAAAAAAAATACAAAAACTGGCAAATCTATTTCACGCTCTTAGAGATGAGGATAGTGGTCTTCCTTGTGTGTTGGGGGTGGGGAGTGGAGTTGATGAAGGGAATACCATGGGTTTTCCGGGAAGTAGTAATGTTCAGTTTCTTGACCTGGGTACTGTTCGCCTTTGGTTGCTATTCACTTTATATTCAGCAAATCATATGCTTACATGATGTTCATTTCTCTTTATGTATATTATACTTCAATAAACAGTTTTTAAAAACGAACATCCCTATTTCTTGATTTTTGCATTGCTAAATTCATTTATGCTAAATGAGAGTGAGCCAATTGCTTCACCAGCCTATTGCAGTTGAGTTGATTCTAACTCATAGTGACCTTATAGGACAGAGTAGAACTGCCCCATGGGGTTTCCAAAGCTGTAAATCTTTACAGAAGCAGACTGCCACAATTTTCTCCCGTGGTGGCTGGTGGGTTTAAACTGCCGACCTCTTGGTTAGCAGCTGAGCACTTTAACCGCTGTGACACCAGGACTCCTTGACTGTCTCACACACACATAAAAAGGCTTTAGAAGACTAGCTTTCATGAATTATGGGAAAAGCAGGCCCCAAACGATCAGCCAGCATTGCATTCTTGGCAAAGGTTACTTAAGTTGCCTGGGTCTTGATTGCAGAAGTATTGCCTAACATGAAGTTCTGTAAATGATTTTCAAAAGAGTTTTTGTTCTGAGCTTTACACACAATGGAGTTTGAATATTTGGAGAATTTATGAAATGCATAGGATATCACCACCTACTTCTTTGTGCATTCCAAAAACCTGACCATGTTCCGACGGAGAACACGCCTGGGTTTATGATAACAAACCAAAGAGCAGATCACAGTGTTCATATTCAGTGGGAGGGCAGTGAGAATCAGTTCATACTCTGGCACTCCTGAGCTTGTGGTTGATTATTTTCTTTCATTTTGCAGAAGTTTCTGATGGGCGGAGCATCTAGTAATCCCTTTAATTTCTAAACTGTGTTTCAACCTCCTTTTGCAGCCAGTACTTTCCTGCACTGATCACAGTTTTCAGCAGAGGAGAATGCGACATAGTGTGGGCAGTGTCAGGTATCAAATGTTCCACTAAAAAGTCCCAAAATGAGATTTCCAGTGAAGATTGTTTGGCTTACATTATGGACTGTTTGTGTAGCACAAGGTAAGTTTAAAAGAGACTTCTTTTCTATAACTAATGAATTATTTGCTAATGGATTTTCATGGTGATAATAAAAATTTAGTCTAGAAAATGTGTTCTAGTTTTTATTCTGTAGCTTAATGTGAGTGGCTTTTGAAATTAAGTTTAAGTAATATAATTGGCTTATTTTAATTGCATATGCATTTACTTAATCATAATTTTATTTAATGTAAAATTTAAGAAAATGTTTTAATGAACTTTTTTATTTTATATAATTTTAATTATTTTGTTGTTGTTGTTGAGAATATACACAGCAAAACATACATCAGTTCAACAGCTTCTACATGTATCATTTAGTGACATTGATTACATTCTTCGAGTTGTGTAACCATAAGTGAACATTTTTGAAAACTCTAATCTGTCATAATCATTTCCCTTGCCAATTGTCATAAAATATAATTTACTTTTTTGCTTAGATTTTCACCAAAATACTTTATGTAGAAGTATTAAAAAGTAGAGATAGATGATAGAGAGATAGAACCAGAACATAAATTATTCAATAAGAGCCTTCAAATCATGTATGACTGGATTTTTTCTCAGATGTAGGTGTTAACTCTGCTTAAAGACCAGTTCATTTATCATTTACAATTGATATTTCTGCAGCCTGAAAACTGTTGTAAACAAGCATTGCTTGTGTCTTTAGAATGAAAATATTAATGTAATTCTAAAAAACAATTGACTACACAATCTAAATTGTTCAGAAGCTTTTATTGTGGTTGTATATGTCATATTCTAGAAAAGTATCTTCTGGAACAATGACTATGAGTATAGGAGTTTTTCTGATAGTAAGACAATTTCTGGATTTGCAATTAAATTTAATTTGTTACTGTTTCATAATAGATTAAAAATTTTCACTTTGGAGGACATTCTCTCTCACAGTTCATAATAGGTAGACTGACGACTAGCA